TATAAATGTATAAATGAGAATGGGAAATGTTGCACTGACGCTGCACTGATGAGGGATTAATGGTAAACCAACAGGTTAAAAAACAAACAATAGGAAGAAGGCATTAATGTTTCTGTGAAATGAATCCTAGGTAGAAATTCACCTGAATAAACTGGTTCGTTTAGCCTCATACAATCAGAGGCTCATCCGTCTGTGAAACGTCCAATCAGCATTCAGACTGAGTCCATCTGAATCTGGAGCTCAATTAGAACTTAATGATCACATGAATCTTAGATATTATTCTAAATAATGTTCGATATACGGTAAAAAGGAATTACATTTTGGTGGAAATTTTGATCAGTCAAGTTGATTAAAAACTACAAGAGTAGATAATGTAAGTTTGAAAAGTAGATCATATTTGTTCATTGTTTTTTCTGTTTTATTGATCAAAAGTTTTCCAGACCTGAGAAGTAAGCAGAGTTTTTCTCTTCTTCTGACCCCTGATCTCACCAAAGTCTAATCTAATTTCAGCTGTAAGAACTGATATCATTATTTCATAACTGTGAGAAATGATCCCATGTTTTAATACACATTAAACCATACCTTAAATTAAACCAATAGGATGGAGTCACATCCAGGCTGAGATGAGGTCAAGTATCAGGAAGGCTTATTGAACGTCGTATCAAACAGTCATCTTTGACCAAGTTTAAGTTTGTTATTATAAAATCTGTTGAATTTCCAGTTTTTAGACTCTTTATAGAGGTTAAATGATCTAATCTAGAAGTCATTTATCTTCATAGATGTTTTTATAGCCATTTGGCTTCATGTTGTCATCATCAAAAAGTAGCGATGTCTATCTGTGTCTATCTTTGTCCAACAGCTCCCCCTGCTGACCTGAAGGTGCCATGACAGCAGTCAGCTCTCACTGATGGAAACATCCTCTGACCTTGAATGGACTTTAATATAAAGACAATTTTGCTTATTTTGCTTCACAGAAGAAAAAACAAACTTTGTTTTTTAGGTTTCTCCACCGCTTTGCAATAAGAGATAAAAGAGAGAATTAACTTCAAAGTCTAACATTAAGGAAGCACAAGAAATATATGAAATAAAAAAAAAAGATTACTCAGTGTAAATGAGCTGATTTCTAATTTAGTTACAAGACATATTACAATTTGAAATTATTATACGCTATTATTTTTGCCTCCATTGTTTTTGTGAATTTATAAAGCTTTACAGTTTACCTTGTTTTAAGGGAGTTTAATTTGAAACTATGTGACCGGGTTTTAGTCTGTGAGATACGGAGAAGAAGAAGCTGAGAAAGACAGAAAAAAAAAATAGATAAAATATTCAGCTTTATTTGAAGGACTTGAACCGTCCGAAGTGGCACAAGGTTAGTTCTTATGTGATAAGACATGTTTGATGTGTGTCATGTGTTTTAAAATACTTGTGAAGAACAGGGGCAGGGGTGGCCAGGCTACGCCTCTGGTGAAGAACTTTTTTCTGTTGGTTATTAAGTCTCCGTAGCTTACGTATAAGGCGCTTATTTTACTTAGAGTCAGCCAGTTCCGTAAAACATTTTTTCTGTTGTGCTCTTCCTAGCTCTTATGTTGGTTGGTAAAAAATATTATTGTTGACAACGATGAGATTCTAATAAACAAGAAAACCACCAGTCAAGTGTTGACCATCATTCGGGGGAGCTTCACCTGCTTCCCAGAGCTGCTTACGCGATCTATGGACAGCACAGCGCGAACAGCAGTGAGTCGTTGCAAGTGTGATGGTCAAGGGAGACGGTAAGGACGAAACTACATATAAAATGGATGATGTTAAGGGAAAAAAAAGCTACAAAGGGAAATGGAAGAAAGTAGAGGCTTACTTCATCAAGGAGAATGCGAAGGCATATCGAGGCAGGAATTAAAGAAGCTAATTGAAAGCAAAGAAAAACGACTAGCTAAAGGCTTTCTTCCCTAGTTCTCTTCAGGCAAAAAGAACAGAGAGCAACAGCTGATGGTTGGATCTCAGGCAAAAGAAGCCAGGCTTTACTGTGGAAGTAAGGTACAAATGTAAGAGGGCAGTAATCCAAGAAGGGCCTTGGAAATAAAAGTGTAGCAATGACACTGCCTTCTGGTAGAGAGGGAAGGCCATCCCACCTGAGAGGACAGGTCACAGTGATGTCATGATCTACAGCCTGTGATGAACCTTAATGGAGCATGGGAAACAGTCCAACATTTGGAGACATGAAGAAGAAACGTTCTTATAAAAAAGGTCACCAGAATCTAAGGCTGATAAGAGAGACAAGATGCTTTTTTACTGGGTTGGGAATTCATAAGATTTTCACAATTCCGATTCCATTATCGATTCTGTGAAACGATTGGATTCCTTATCGATTCCCTCACCGATTCTGTTAGCAATAAATCTGGTAAGTTTACGGTGACATTCATCTACCTTCGCCTGGGACATTCTATCTCTGCCTGCCTTAAACGCTTTTGTTTAGCTTTTCTAGACTTACGCCTGGTCACGTCGTACTTGCTTCCTGAATGCTGTGTGCATAGCTTGCCTAAAAAATGTGACGCAAGTCGTGCTGCCCAGCGCTAGGCTCTGGTCCTGTTAAGAGGTGGAATTGTTAAGAGAATCGTTAAGCAAGCTGCCAAACGGTGCCTTGGAATTGGAACACACGGAACGGTTCTGAACAGGAACCGGCTTTCGATTCCCATCACTTGAAAAAGCCCAGTTTAACTTTTAATTTCTTCAAAAGTTTATCAATAAAAGGTTTGAAGGTGAGGGAGTCATCAATTGCGTATTTATATTCATGTCCCACCTCAATGACATTCCCCTCCAGAGTGGACACTACTGGAAGGGTTTGAGGCACCTTCCTATTATTAGAAATCATTAACTTTGTTTTGTCAACATTAAGAAATATTTTAAGATGAATAAATGAATACAGTACAGCTACAAAGGCTTTCTGTAGGGAATAATCTTCTGTTGAAGAGACGACCCAAAGCAATAAACAATGGTATCATCAGCATAAACTGCATATTAGCATATTAGTATCTAAATTGTATTTGCAGTTTGAAGCAGCAGGTTTGGGTCTCCAGCGAACACCGACCTGGGATTAGTTCAGTAGTGGCTGGCCAATAGAGGGCGCTATGGCACCAGCCCACACACCCAATGACCCTGAGCATTAAAGAAAAAAAAAAAATTCCTTTTAAATTAAAATTTAAAATATTTCGAAATATATCAATATATATTTTTTAGATGTGCAAGATAAATATGTAATCTCTGATGACTAGTAAACCCTACAGTTAACACGAATCTGTCATGATCTTGGTACTGATGGCTGGTCTGAGTACTCATTTCACTCACCTGCCTAGCTCCGCCCAGTTCTCATCACCCGCTTATCTGAACCACCTGCATTAGTCTCTATTTAAACAGCTTTCAGATCAGTAATTGGTGCCAGATTATTTTGAGCCATTGGTGAGACTTATTCTAGTGTTCCTGTATTCTGATTATCTGATCCTGACCTGTTCTGCCTCCCAACCGCTGAGTCTGCCTGTTCCCTCTGATTTGTTACCAGCACCTCGCCGGATTTCGGATCTCATCTATGCTTATGTCTTCCACTGGGCCTGAGCACTAAAGCCTGTTCTTCTCTTTTCCTTTTTAAACTCTGCTATTGCTGCTAATCTTGTGTGTTAGTCTTTCAAGGGGAACAGAAAAAAGAGTAACACAAAACAATTGTTCATGAGGTTTTCAGTTTATTTAGAATAAATTATCTTTTCAGAGCATCTTATATTCTTCACATGAGAACATTAGACTTTTACAAACAGCCATTGTACACATTAGTTTTTCTTTGAGTTAAGGCATGTTTTGTAGGTATGTTTTTATTTTGTTTGGTCTTTTAAAGTAGAAGATTTATTGTGTCGTCATATTTTCAGTTTAAAAACATTGGAAACACCATCGCCTGTAAAGTATAATGACAGTTTTCTGCATTTGTGATTTATGGCAAAATGGTCCACAAGGCATCAAGTTTCAGAGGCTTTACTCTTCTGGATTCAATGCTTAACACCCTGAAACTGCTTGGACATTCATCTAATGGTGACCAAAGATGTTGGAATTTTTTTTTTTACTAATATAATGTTGGAAAACTCCTCTCCCAAGTGGCAGAACTTCCTGGGAGTTTGACAATGTCTATTCCGACTTTAACAGGCTCTTAGAATACCTCTATGTATGTGAAACTCCTCTGTATTGGAAGGTTTTTCAGTTTCTCTGCTCTATTTTTCTCTCTAAGTATCTTGAACTGATTCATTTCATGCCACAGATCCACAGTATTAGGATTTAAAACGACTGCATTCAAACTACGTGCTGTGTTTAAAAAGTGCTTTACTCTTGGCATTTAGAAAAAACATTTTTCTTATCAGCTCAGATTGTTTTTGAAAATTGTCTGCTCAGTTCACTAAGCATGTGGTCAATGGCAGAATACAAGTAGAAAACAGAAAACAGATGAGTTTCTTTATCACAATCTTGTTGCAGCTGCATAGAAATTTAGAACTTTGAATAGAAAATTAGATATAATGGAACATTAGAACTTTAATTTTGTAGCATTATAGAATGAGAAGGAAAACTATCCATAATGGAAGGAGAAGCAGACGTGTTAATTATGTTTACCATCCTAGGAATAAGAATAATAAACCTAATCAACAATAAATGAACTAAAATGGTGGACAGTATTAAACATTAATGACAGGGAAATTAAGAAACAGAAACATGGAAAAAACCCAAAAAAGATATATTGAGCTGAAGGATTTTCACTTTATTAGAGCATCACAATTACAACTACAACAGGGATACATTTATGTCAAATAAAAGTAAAAAAAAAAAAAAATCCTATGTAATTACAACATGAATACTCGTATGCTACTTAGAATAAGTAAAGCACCCTTAAATTATTTGTTGTGTAGCATCATCTAAACACGTAGTATTTTCTTTTTCCTGTTTGTTTTCGTACAAAAGCAAAGACTCATTTATTCTGTATGTGGCAAATATGTGGGAATGAAAAGAGAGCGGCGTCCTTCAGCTACGAACAAAGTGAAATATTTTGATAAGACTGGAGCCATGGATGTCTCCTCATCTGCAAACGGGTGTGATGTAATGATGTGATGATGTGGCAGAATGGAGAAGTTTAAAATGCTTCTCTAATGGTTTATTGGGGCCACTTCATGAGAAGTGAGCCCGGTTGGTGAGCAGCTGCCTTCTGTAACTCTAAGCAACTTCTCTGATCTGAGGAAGATTATTTCTGTTACAATTTTTATCAAAATCTGTTGTAATGTCTCATGGTTATTTAATAAATATAAGCTATGAAGTGTTATTTAAAGAGTTTGACCCGAGTGATCTCTTTTCAGGAAAAAGAACAGGAGAGAGAAATATTTAAGGTGTAAACACAAAGCTTTCTATTAACAAAGACTTCTCTGGCAGAAGGAGATCTTTAGAACTCAGCACAAAAACACAGAGGAACCTGGACTGGAGCAGAACCCAAACCCAGGATACAGCGGTTCAGTGAATGTGGTGTTGAAGGTGTGGAGGTGGATCAGTGAGTCAGATGAGACTCTGTAGAAGGACAGAATGCCAGCAGGACAGTCCACATAGACTCCTACTTTACCAGAGACGGAGGAGGAGGTGGAGGAAGAGGAGGAGGAGGAGATTCTTACTCTGCTGGGCCAGGCAGTGTAACCTTCTTTAAAGCAGCTTAAACTCCAGGAGTGATCATTAAATCCTAACCAGCAAACCTCACTGTTTCCTTCTCTTGTGATTTTTTTGTAACTCACAGATATATAAACTCCTTCTCTCCACTCAACCTCCCAGTAACATCGACCAGTTAGAGCCTCTGTACATAACAGCTGTGGAAGGTTAAATCTGTCTGGATGATCAGGATAGGACTGAAGCTCCTCCATCAGTGTCACCTTCCTGTTGTCTTCAGATAGTTTCAGGTTTCTGTTCACTGTGTTTGTGTCGATGGTGATCTGACAGGAATCTGATGGAAAGAAAAAACACAGTTATTCATCATTTATTGAAGCATTGATGAAGAATCCTGAGTGGTTAATGGACAGTTTGAAGATGGTTTAATGTGAGCTCCTTTGTTTTCATGAATCCAGTGAAAAACAAACTTACACTTCTTCAGACCTGGTGTCAACCATTGTTCTCCAGCAGGCTCCACCCTGAAAGGAGGAGGATATTAGACCATCAGTCTCTGTCAGTATGGACATACATGTCTCTGAGACACACATTGTCCTAGGTAGTTGGCCAGGTCTGACCTTTACCACACCTGGCACTTGATTGGACACCCCAAATATCCCTTCAGGTGGTGGACAATGTACCTCAGAGTCAAACGGAATAAGCTTTAGTGATGTTATAAAGATTTTCCTGTATTAACCCTTTTTTTTTTTATTAGCTGCATCCGAACCATTTGGGTTTCTCCTCTACCTCCAGTATGCATTAACCTAAGTTATGCGAAAACCCAACAACCCTAAACACTAAGTCTGCAGCATTTTAAGGGCTGTTACCCAACATGTACATTGCTGTGCTGTTGTTGCTTTGCCGCATCGTAACTCCTCTGGATGTTTTTCTAAACTTAACTCTGATGTCCAAGCTTGTTGCAGCAGAAAATGTATAACTTTGGAATCAATGATTCGCTGAAGTGCTGACTTCGGCTCCAGAGTGTTGAGTAGGTATCAGAAGCCTTCGTTCTCCCTGACACAATAGGGATGTATGTCTGTACATTAGATGAACGCGATTGCCTTGGAGATATTCCTCGCCCTCTTAGTGCTGTGTGAAAACTTCTGGGGTAAAAATGTTGTCAGTGGCGATGTAAAGGGCTGTGCTTTTTCTTCGTCTTGGACACATCGGCGTCTTGTCAGGTGAGCAGACAAATTTGATGTGTTGCCACAGTAGCGAATTTCGCAACGACAAGCTCTACATATAGACATATCCTTCATCAGTTTTCTTCCATACTTACGCAACCCAAAATACTTCCACACAAATGACTTGAACCTGCGGGGGGTGTGTAAGTCATCTTCTTTTTCCTCCGCCATGTCTGTCTGGCCTACTGTTTATGTGAGTGTGTGTGTGCAAGAGGAAAGAGGGTAGTGGCTAAAGGAAGCGAGGTAGGAGGGCAAAGGAGGTAGGAGGACCGCAGCGCTGGAGTCAGAATTACATCCAGGAGCAAATGGATAAAAATAGACTGAAGGAAAAAAAGAAGTGTTGATGCATCGGATCACTGGCTGTTCGATCGATGCATCGACACAAAACATCTAAAATTTACACCCCTAATCCATACCTGAGATCTTCCAGTCTCCATTTTGGATCCTTCAGTCCAGCCGACAGCAGCTTCACTCCTGACTCTCCTGGATGATTGTAGCTCAGGTCCAACTCCTTCAGATGGGAGGGGTTGGAGCTCAGAGCTGAGGCCAGAGAAGCACAGCCTTCCTCTGAGATCAGACAGCCTGACAACCTGCAGACACACAATTTAACTCATAAGAAGAATTCTGAGGAAAAACACAAATTCTTATAGAAGGGGAAACAAACAGGAAACAGACAGTGGGATAATTCAAAGCGGGTTCAGGGTTCCAGGAGTCCACAGAGTTCAGGCAGAACATTCATATGGGAACAGGCAAGCTCAGTTGTAGCGAGGCGGAACAGGTCAGGATATCAGGAACACTACGGAACGCTAAAACCTTGGTCTCTCCACTGAGTCGAGATATGAACAGACACACTCCATGGATGAGAGGCAGAACACAATCAGGAAATCAGAAACACTATAGAACGCTAAAAAAAAACCCTCTCCACTGACCCCTGAGAATGAGCACTAGAACAAGAACATCAACATCAATAATCTGGCCTGATGGCCGGGACTGAGGCGTATAAATAGAAGCAGGAGCAGGTGAATAAGATGTTAGGCAGGTGGTTGAAATGAGCATTTAGGCCAGCCATCAGTATCAAGATCATGACAAAATGTATTAACTGATTTAGTCTTAAATACTTGCATTTCATTATGGTGACCATGCCAGTATCTAACACTAACCAATTCAGTGAGAATAATAGTATAAATTGATAATTTAATACTACATTAGCTTTTATTCGCTTTGCTAAAAATATCTATCTTCAAACTTTGTACTTTCTGACATATTTATGGCATTGCCTGTAAACAAAGAACATGATTTTGTTATAACACACTCTTGTCTTAGAATTTTTATAACTTTGAAGTTAAAGTTAAGTAAAGAGCAAGTTGAACTGTAGAGATTGATCAAACAGAACTCTGGGTAATCAATATATATACATTTTAAATATTAAAGTTGTGTTTTACCAATTTCAAAGCAATTTTATAAAAGGGATTTGTTCTTTTCATTACTGACCTAAATTTAGATAGAATTAATCAAGGGTTTAAATTGATCAGAACCATGTTTTAAGCTAATTGTAGTAAAACCTTAACTTATAATAAGAAAACCCTCTTGATTGAGATAAATGAATCAGTATCCTTTATATAATCATTTTCTCTTATAAATATAATCACTGAAAAATAGTTGTTAATCAAGTGGTTGAGGAATCACTATGTAAAGACCTGTGCAAATAATTGCATTCAGGTTCCAAAACTTATTGCAGCACTTAAACACAACTGGTGAAAGTCAGCCTTGACTGCTGTCCAACCCTCGTAGAGGGGAAAGTTCCTGCCACAAGTGGAGGAGTATTTTGGGGTCCTGTTCAGTGAGGGGGAAATGGAGTGAGAGAACGATAAACAGATTGGTGTGGCTGCTGCCATAATACAGATGTTGCAGCGGTCTGTTGTGGTGTAGAGAGATCTAACCGAAAAGGCAAAGCTCTCAATTTTCTGTGTTTCAAACCCTCCCCTGTGGTCACAAAAATCTGTATCACCACTGAAAGAATGAGAACCTGGATACTCAGGTTTTAAGAAACGGGATTGTTAGGAATCCAGTTTGTGTGGGTTGTGTTTTTGTGTGCTTTCCCTCCACCACCAGGTGGCGCCTGGTCCTCGTTGGCCCTCTCACACACCTGCGGATGGTTGCCTCATTATCGGAGGACTCTTAAGCTGCTGACTGCCACTACCTTGACGCCAGAGAGTTTGGCAGTTTTGGGTACTCTAGCCAAGCTGTGTTTTGCTAATCAAACTGAGTTTTTGTCAACTTGAGCCTAACCTTGTTGTTTTTGTCTTTACCTCTCAGCAGGAAGTCATCCTGCAAACTGGATGTTTTGGACCTTCTTCCCCCTGGAAGGATGGTCTTAGCTTCAAACTGAGCTGAGGATTCAAACTGGAGGTTTGGATCTACTTTTCCCCTAAGGATTGTTTGAGCTTCACACTGAGCAGGGGATTCATCTCCACAAGAAACCGTTCAAGTACCATAGGAAATCCAAGTGGCAGTCAGCTCCTTCATTCCTCAAGTAAACACCTCAGCCTGGGTAAACCCTGTCCTCCCTCCAACGAGCAAGTCAATTACTGACACAACCCACACCAACTGGATTCAGAGAACGACACTTCTTCTGGAAACGTAAGTCCTGTTGCCTTAATTCCCTTTTGCAAATCGAAGCTCAAATTTTCCACTGAGTCTGAACTAACCACAGGAATTTCCATTCACTTTTCAGTCCCGGTTCGCCAGTGTTTAGAGCAGCACTGGACCCATCCCTACCAGTTCTCAATAAACCTGTTAAACCTTCCCCTGGTCTCTCTGTTTGGTTTTCTGCATGTGGGTCAGATCTTTGCATAAAATCATCACAGGGATAAGGAGTTTGGGTCATGTGGGGCTTTGAGTAGAGCTGCTTCTCCTCCACATTCAGAGGAATCAGCTGAGGTGGCTCGGACAGCTTTGTCAGATGTCTCCTAGACACCTTCCTTGGCAGATTTTCCGGGTATCTCCCACCGGCACAAGGCCCATGACATGCTGGACGGACTTTGTCTCGCAGCTGGCCTGGAGCAGCCTCAGGCTTCCCCAAGCAGAGCTGAGACTGCTCCTCCTGCGTCCAGGATGAAGCGAAACATGACGCGTACATGTAGATATGTATTGTGCAAGGTTACAAGATTATAAAGATGACCTCTGCAGTATTGACTCTCTCCCCTTATTCAAAACCAGATTAAAAAGCCATCTGCTCCAGCTGGCTTATTTGTAAATACACTGATCTTGTCCCTCCCCATAACTATTTTTATGTATTTGTATTTTTGTATTTTAATTTTCATCTCTGTAAAGTGACTTTGAGTGTCCAGAAAGGCGCTGTTAAATAAAATGTATTTTTATTGTTATGTTAAATAATTATAACTGGAAGTGATAGTCAATTAAGAGGTCATTAAAATCAATGATAAAACAGTTTAATTATTATCAGTTGAATGATTATAACTGTAATTTGCTTACTGACCAGGGCTCTTAGTCTCTTACATAAAAGATTGGACTCCAGCTGTTTAAATTCCATTTACCATCACCAATTAAATAATTTAGACTATGTCTGTCAGCAGAGTTACTAATCACCAAGCAAATAAAAATGTGTCTCTGTTCATTCGGATATTACTGAAGGAATCCAGACTGAGTGATAAATCAATCGTTCACTGTGTAAAATAAACTGTAAGGTGTATTCAATGATGGTTATAAAGTTAATGTGTGTGCATATAAAACATTGAGGAAATGAGATGCTTCACTCTGTCTTGTGATTCAGTCAGAGGAGCATTCTGACTTATGACCTGATCAATTGCCTTGTCAGAGGAACACTCTGTTTTGTAACCCACCCCATGTGTTATGATCTGCTAATAAAGAGGCTCTGCAGGGGGAGGGGGGTCGGTGAAAGAGTTGGAGAGTTGGGTTGTGACTCTCTCCTCCTGCAGGAGCTGCTGAAAATCACTTTCTTGTGTGGACTCAGTTCCTCTTTTACGAACCTACATTTTTTAACCTAACATTTTTGGTGCCGAAACCCGAGAGTCAAGATACAATTGTCCAGGAATGTGCGGGACCAAGGTCAAGAATCTGTCGACAGCCGTCCCCCCTTCGCCGGACGGGGCCAATAGGTTGCTCCAGCCCTGCCCTGGGCATCCTGGTGACGACTCCCAGAGCACTGATCCGCACAGCAAAGGGTAGGCCTAAATCTTTTAATCAAAAGTTGGTCTGGGACCATTTAAGTTACAGCTGTAACCGCAAGAATATTTCATGAGACGAAGTCTTGTTGACAGATCAGGGATCGGTATTCTGTGCGTTTGAGTCTGGGACTCTGTGTTGTTCTCGAGATTGTAAGTATTGCAGCTTCTGCAGCAGGGATATTGGACGAAACCAAGTTTCGTTGACAGATCTGGGATCGGGTATCTGGTGCATGCGAGGAGTCTAACTCTAGGGCCTGCGCGTGCGGAGTCTGGGTTTTCAAAGTGTACACATAAAAATAAAAAATAAAAATGCAGTAAATAGTACTTTTAAACAATTGGTCAAAGGATGGGGCAAGGAAATAGTAAGAAGGAAGTGCCAGGTGATGTTAGATGGATGGTGACATGTTGTTGTGGTGATCCAGAGTTTGCCAGAAAGTGGATTGAGAAGGAAGGTTGGAATGGACAGTTAAGAGTTGAGCCGCTGATGAAGATTCATCAGAAAGTGAAGATGAAGTTGGTGTGTAAATCAGAAAATAAGCAAGCTACATACAGAAAAGAATTAGAGGAGTTAAATAAGTGGATTGTGCAAGCTAAGCATAGAGAAAGCCAAATACAGCAGAAAAAGGATAGAAAGAAAGCTAGAATTGCTGCTGTGAAAGTTAAAGCTGATGAAGAAACTGTTGTATCTCGCATGTTTCCTCAAAATCCTGCCCCTAATCAAACTCAAGGGGGTAATGGGTTTCAAGCGGTAGCATTAGCTGCACAGGAAGGTGGACATGGACCCCATCTCGGTGGATATGAACACCACCATGCCACTGTTCCTCCTCCAGTAGCCCCACCCTCATATGATGATGTTGGAGGAGCAGGAGCAAGTCCCCTGTCCATATCGTCCTCTATGGGATGTATGGACCTCAGTGCCATTGACCTTTATGAGCCTGAAATAAGAAAATCAAAAAGGGATGTGAAGCCTAATTCCAAGTATTACAATAATGATTATCAAATAGAGGCTCATAAAAAAGGCCCATCTGCCCCTATTTATCCAAATTTGGCTGAATTAAAAAACCAAGAACAGGACAAAAATCCTGAAGGGGGGGCATGTGCTTTTCCAATGTTAGAGGTGGTCAACCCTCGTTATGGCCAACGCACAGGACCCCAAGATAATGACCCAGTGAATAATAGGCCTACCATTCTTGTGTATAGGCCATGGACAGATGCAGAAATGCAGACTGCCTGTCAAGGTTTAACCCCAGCTAGACAGGACCCAATTAAATGGTCCGAGGACATTAAAAATTGATTCTTACAAATTAAATGGGGCAGAAATATAATAAGCTATGAGGGTGTAGTTTGGGCCATAATTGGGCTCAAGTGAGGGGCCAATACACTGGGCACGGAGGAAATCCAGTTGGAATCCTCCCTCCGGGGCATGGGGACCTAGAAAGACAGGTTAATGTGGTCTGTGAAACAGCCCAACGCCTGTGGAGACAACCTCCCAGTCTTACTAAAATCTCTGAGTTCCGTCAGGGTCCAGAGGAAGAAGTGACAGCATATAGGGCCCGACTCCAAGAGGCTATTAATCAACACAGTGGAGTCTCAGAGGATAATGCTGAGGACGGGGTCTATATGTCTCTGCTGAAGCAATATTTCCTTGCAGGTCTCTGTCCAGAAATTAGAGGTCATTTGGAAAAACATTTGGCTGGATAGAACAACTACTTTTAATACATTGATGGAGTATGCTTTGCCAACTCAGGATTGGAAAAATACAAAAAAGACTCAAATATATTATGACCAGCACTGACGCCAGAAGTCATGTGCACCAGCAAAAAGTGAAGAGCAGTTAATGTTGGACCCAGTGGAGGTCCTGGACCTACAGCAAATTTTCTTGTCTTTTTTAAACACATCAGAAAAACCATACTGGCATTTAAATATTCAAGGGGTAAAAGTTAAATTTTTGACTGATAAATCTGTCCTGAGGGATAAACTACCTCAGGTTAAACCGGGACCAAAATGGATCACAGTAGTCTCTGCTGATGGGGGAATGGTGGTTCAGGCAATTTCTGAAAAACAATTGGTCACTGATAAAAAGGGTATTTACAGTGGAAGATGATTTTGTGTTGAGCCCAGACTGCCCAGTTAATTTATTAGGCAGAGATTTGTTAAAGGAATTGCAATTAGCGCTCATGCCCACAGACAAAGGAATGGGAGTGAAAAGATGTACAGATTTTATGTTACAAGGGGAAGTTACACCAGAACTAGAAACAGCTGACACACATGTTGTACATTCAGGCTCATTCCCAAAAACATTTTACTCCGTGGATTTAACTACCCAAGGGCCATGGGAAATAGTAACTCAGCTACAGAGACAGGCTGCACCTAATGGTCAGTTTCAAAATCAATAACCATTACATGTTACCATGAGGGTTATGGACCCAGGCACCACAGATAGCAAATATGACAGAGATTTTCACAGGCTGTCACCCCAGTTTATACAGATTAAGTACATGTACAGTACAGAAGCTGGGGACTCGGTAGCGTCAGTCTCTCTCAGCCCCCAGGTACAGCCCTTACTGCAGCAAGAATGGGGAATGTCCCCACATGTTTCAATGTCCAGGAAATCAGGGAGACAGTGGCAGGAACTAGGTTATATGGCAGGATCAGCTGGCAGAATATTGGAAGGTACCTGGGTAAATGATTGTGCTGTTTTACCAAAATGGGACCTGGTGCGGAGGAAGAAATTAAACTGGACCACTTTGGCTCTCCCACAGAAGCATTTGACAGAACGATTAATACTAGCTGCGGACTATGAGTCTCTTCCAGTTCCAGCTAGCGTGTGGTCCACAGGAAAAACAGATGTAGGTTTACTTACAACTGCTAAACCTGTAGTAGTACAAGCAAGAACCTCCCATCGCCCCAGGGTTAAACAATATCCTTTAAAGCCTGATGCAGAGGCAGGAATTAAACCTGTAATTGATGACGTGTTGAAAGCTGGAATTTTGATTGAAGATCCAACCTGTGAATGTAACACACCCATATTTCCTGTTAAGAAACCTGGTACGGACAACTGGAGGCTGGTCCATGATTTAAGAGAAGTGAACAAAGCAGTTAAAACTAGAGCTCCCTGTGTTCCTGATCCTGACACTCTTTTAAATTCACTGAACCAAGAACAATGTTATTTTTCTGTAATGGATCTTAGTAATGCCTTTTTCTCCATACCTCTCGATCCAGATTCAAGGCATTGGTTTGGTTTCACTTTTAAAAATAAAAAATACACATACACCAGACTGCCCCAAGGGTTTGAAGATAGCCCCGCTATTTTCTCGCAGGAGATAAGTGCATGTTTAGCAGAACATCAACACCCAGAAACCACACAGATACTGGTGTATGTGGATAGCATTCTGGTTGCGAGCCCTACAGAAAAATAGAACAAAGAACAGACCTAGAGGCTGCTGACTTCTCTAGCAGCAACAGAAAATAAAGTTTCACCACACAAGCTGCAGCTGTGCAAGAAGGAAGTTATCTTTTTAGGCCATAACATTTCTCAGTAGGGGAAATCATTATCAGCGGACAGGAAAAAGGGAGTGTTGGACGCTCCACAGCCCAAAACTAAAAAGCAAATGATAGCTTTTCTAGGCTTGTGTAATTACTGTAGAACATGGATCCCCAATTATGCTGAGGTTACTCATCCACTGCTTGATCTCATTTACACAAATGATATGGCAATGACAGATAAAATAACGTGGACTCCAACTGCGGAGTCAGTTTTTTCACAGCTAAAGGACCTGATTGCAAACTCTTCTGTAGTGGCGCTACCAGACTATTCTAAACCATTTATCCAAACAGTGGATTGCAAGGGACAGTTCATGACCTCTCTGTTAATGCAGAAACAAGGAGGAAAAATGAGGCCAGTGGCATTTTATTTAAAAAGATTAGAACCAGTTGCAGCTGCCCTCCCACACTGTGTAAGATCAGTTTGTGCTGCTGCTCTAGCTGTGCAGAGCTCATCTGAAATTGTCTTGTACCAACCACTGACCTTGTTATAACTCATGCAGTGGAACTGTTAGTCACAACTGCCAAAATGACCTTTATGTCTCCAGCCAGACATCTAAACATTATGACCACTACGCTGTCTCAGCCTCACCTCACGCTGCAGCGGTGTAATTCTTTGAAACCCTCAACCTTGCTGCCCACACCAGAAGATGGCGACCCTCACCACTGTGTGGAAAGAACAACTATGTGTTGCAAACCGCATCCAGATTTAAAAGATGAACCACAGGAGGGTTATACAAATTTGTATGTGGATGGGTTAGCTTCCAGATCAGAAGAGGGAAAGAACTTAGTTGGTTTTGCAATTGTAGATGATCAAAAAACCCTTTATAGTGCTGCCTTAAAATCATCATATTCTGCGCAAGCTGCAGAGATTGTTGTACTAACAAAAGCATGTGAAATGTCAAAAGGCCAAGATGTAAATATTTTCACCGACAGTCAGTATGTTTTTTCCACAGTTCATAATTTTGCTGCACAATGGGAGCGTAGGGACATTCTGGTTGCCATCAGCCCACACATCATCTCGGGGCTGGCTGTGACTGTGGTGCAATGACGACTCCTCCAGTACAGGGAGAAAGGTTGAGCATGCAGATTTGTTAACAGCCCTGTTAAAAGCTGTGTTGTTGCCACGGGCCATAGCCATATGCAAATGTGCAGCACATGCCAAAAGCCAAGATGTGGTAAGCAGAGGAAACAATAGAGCAGATGCTGCAGCAAAGGCAGCAGCTAGAGCACAAATCTTTCAGACTAATGCAGATGTGTCAAACGAAGGCACAATAGTTCCTACAGAAATTCTTATAGATATGCAGAAACACACTCCAGCATCTGAAAAAGAACAATGGAAAAGAGAAGGAGCGATTACAAAGTCTGATGGCCTAATTATGATAGAGGATAAACCAGTTTTACCACGAAGCCTGTTTAGAACAGCAGCGGTGATGAGTCATGGCCAGGGCCACGTCTCATCGGGAGGGATGATGAGTATAGTTTAAATAAATACTTAAAAAAATTTTTTGCAGAGCATGTCTCACATGTTGTAAATACAAAATTGTTCAGAAAACATGTAATCTGCCCAATGCTCCTTTTGTTTCCCTACAGGAAGGCCTGAAGTCTGGAAACCGAGTGCTGATTAAAATCATCAAGAGGAAAAATTGGGCAGCTCCAAGATGGGAAGGACCCTACATTGTGCAACTAGCAACCCCAACCGCTGTAAAGATCCAGGAGAGAGACACTTGGATCCACCAGAGTCATTGTAAGCTGATCAAAGATTTTCCTCAGCGAGAAGCCCAGTTACCTTCACAGGGACCCCACGACTAAGGTAGAGATCTGTGGTGAAGCCCAGCTACAAAGGGGTTAAACAATTTAGAGCTTTTCATCTCAACGCTGGTGAAGAAACCAACCTAACCCAATCCTTTAGAGTCCTGGTTAGTGGGCGCTTCCTTGGAGGAACTGATTAAGATGGGAAAACTAAAGTGGCTCTGCTGCCTGTGAGAGAGTTGGAGAGTTGGGTTGTGACTCTCTCCTCCTGCAGAAGCTGCTGAAAATCACTTTCCTGTGTGGACTCAGTTCCACTTTTACGAACCTAAATTTTTAAACCTAACATAAACACAAGACACCATGGGTTAAAATTCAATGCTACCTTTATTAGCTACAATCACACAGTATTATATATCTAATAACTACAGACACTAAACACTGCTTAGCAAATGTGGCAGCTTCATAGCTGCATCTATACTATCATGTCATGTTGGATGTGTTAACAGTAGGCCTACACACAACACTGATTCGTTCGCGCCTCCAGATATAGATCCGCACCAAGTCACAGATGTAGACCCGGCTCCCAAACCAACTTTGAGAATAGATTAACGACATTATTTTGTTTATCCCCTGATAAGAGTCTGGCATTAACACAGCATCTTATCGCAATTAACAGCCCACCTCTAATATATATATACTCATACTTTAGGTAACAAAACATTTTAATATGAAACATATTATTTATGTGTCTTATCTGGAATCCCTATAGATGAAACTCAATGGGAACTCAGCAGAGGGGGAAGGCTTGAAAATATTATTTAAAATTGGAAATAATATATCAAAAGTAATCTGGCGGTGCAATAGAAAAAAATCTTATATTAATATAGCTAAGATATCTTTGATGAGTTAGAGCAGTAAGGTTAAAAATCTATATTCATCTATTGTTTTATGCTAGCCAATGGCCAGCACCTCTATTTCAATAGAATGGAGATAATTTACCTGAGAGTTTCTAGTTTGCAGTTTGGACTCTTCAGTCCAGCGGAGAGAAGCTTCACTCCTGAATCCTGCAGGTTGTTGTTACTAAGGTCCAGTTCTCTGAGACTGGAGGACTGGGAGCTGAGAACTGAGCACAGAGCTGTACAGCTTCTCTCTGAGAGGAAACAAACACTCAGCCTAAGGAGACAGGGAAGAAACATTTATTGTTAAACAATCAATAATTATGTTCTTTTCGTCACCAAGCAGATTTCACACTATGAACAATAAATACAGTATCAATCAGTGTCCTTACAGAGCTTTGTTGGAGGCTTTAACCACTGGCAGAAGCCTCAGAAGAACCTCCTCTGAAGCTGAGTATTTATTCAGGTCAAAAACATCTAGACTTTCTCCTGATGAGAATAAAATGAAACCTAGAGCTGACCACTGAGCAGGAGACAGTTTATCTTTGGAGAGACTTCCTGAACTCAGATACTGTTGGATCTCCTGGACCAGAGAACGATCCTTCAGTTCATTCAGACAGTGGAACAGATTGATACTTTTCTCTGCAGAAACATTCTCACTGATCTTCTTCTTGATGTACTGAACTGTTTCCTGATTGGTCTTGGAGCTACTTCCTGTCTGTGTCAGCAGACCTTTTAGGAGACTCTGATTGGTCTGCAGTGAAAGTCCCAGGAGGAAGCGGAGGAACAAGTCCAGGTGTCCATTTGGACTCTGTAAGGCCTGGTCTACAGCTGTCTGATGGAGAGACTTTGGTTCATTCTTAGATGTTTGTGTTTCTCCCATCAGGTTGATCCCAGAGTTGATGAAGGTCAGATGAACATGAAGAGCAGCCAGAAACTCCTGAACACTCAGATGGACGAAGCAGAACCCCACCTCCTGGAGCAGCCCTCTCTCCTCTATAGAGATCTGTGTGAACACTCCTGAGTAAACTGAGGCTGCTGTGATATCGATGCCACACTCTGTCACGTCTGATTCATAGAAGATCAGCTTTCCTTTCTTTAACTGATCAAAAGCCAGTTTTCCTAGAGACTCAATCATCTTCCTGCTCTCTGGACTCCAGTGTTGATCTGTTTCAGCTCCTCCATCATTCTTGATCTTCTTCACTTTGGTCTGAACCACCAGGAAGTGGATGTACATCTCAGTCAGGGTGCTGGGCAGCTCTCCTCCCTCTCTGGTCTTCAACACATCCTCCAGAACCGTAGCAGTGATCCAGCAGAACACTGGGATGTGACACATGATGTGGAGACTTCGAGATGTCTTCATGTAGGAGATGATCCTGTCGGCCTGTTTCTTATCTGTGAATCTCTTCCTGAAGTACTCCTCCTTCTGTGGGTCATTGAACCCTCTGACCTCTGTCACCATGCCAACACACTGAGGAGGGATCTGATTGGCTGCTGCAGGTCGTGTGGTTATCCAGAGGAGAGCAGAGGGAAGCAGTTCCCCTCTGATGAGGTTTATCAGCAGAACATCCACTGAGGTGGACTCTGTAACATCAGTCAGGATCTCCTTGTTGGTGAAGTCCAGAGGAAGTCGACTCTCATCCAGACCATCCAAGATGATCAGAACCTGGAAGTCTTCAAAGCTGCTGATTCCTTTGGTTTCAGTGAAGAAGTGATGAACAAGTTCCACCAAGCTGAACTTTTTCTCTCTTAGCACATTCAGTTCTCTGAAGGTGAATGGAAATATGAACTGGATGTTCTGGTGGGCTTTGCCTTCAGCCCAGTCCAGAGTGAACTTCTGGGTTAAGACTGTTTTCCCAATGCCAGCCACTCCCTGTGTCATCACTGCTCTGATTGGTTGATCTCTTCCAGGTGGGACTTTAAAGATGTCTTCTGGTCTGATTATTGTTTCTGGTCTGTTTGGTTTCCTGGATGCTGCTTCAATCTGTCTGACCTCATGTTCATCATTGACCTCTCCAGTTCCTCCCTCTGTGATGTAGAGCTCTGTGTAGATCTGGTTCAGAAGGGTTGGACTTCCTGCTTCAGCGATTCCCTCAAACACAGACTGGAACTTCTTCTTCAGAACAGATTTAAGTTCATGTTGACAAAATGCAGGATATTCTATATTAACACAAAAAGTAAAATCAGGAAGGATAAAACATGATCTTCCCAAGATTATTTGAATAAATGTAATTCAGTTTCTCAGACATCAGTAAATGTTTGACTTATTAATCAGGTTAAATCTTTACAATAATCATCTTACTGCTCAGCAGAGTGTCAGCCAGATCCTCCTGCTTCATCCTCCTCAGGAAGTTCACTGTGATCTTCATCAGTGCTTCTCTGCTGCTCCTCATCTTCTCTTCATCCTCAAACACCTCATCAACTCTTTGACTCTCTGAACATACTGGATCATCTGGACTCAGAGCCCTCTGGATCTTCTTCAGCTCAATCTTCACAAAATTGATCATGTTTTCCTCCAGCAACTGGAACAGAATAATTAATGAAGAACACGATAGACTGGATCATAGAGCCAAACATCACAACCATTTTGAAAACACAGTCGTTATATTGGTCCACCAAGTAAAGCAAGGAGATGACTGTGAACGGACCAGGTTGTTGTTCATGTACAGACCATAAATATGGAGTCTAGCTGGTTTTGATGCTGCTGGGGAGATGGAGCACAGGAAACCTCTGAGGTCTGCAGGTCCACACTGTGAATGGATCATAAACAATTAGCTTACATTCTCTCTGTCTAAAGAAAGAGTGAAGTGAGTAATTAGATCAGCTATCAGGGCAAGTCATGATGCAAACATAACATTACATTGCAAATCTTCTCCTACTTAGGATACACACATGTCAAAGGGACTGGTGGGAGGGGCCAATTTATTGTTTTCACATGTTCACTTCATTTACTCTCATTTAGCACTGTTTCCAACTTAATAATATGATGATACATTTTATCTAAAGGTATATTTCTCAACACTTCAGTTCACCTAAAAATACATAAAAAAACCCCCCCAAAAAAACAAAACGGAAAAAATAAAAACACAGTTTAACACAGCTCCTCATGCTTACAAGACAAGCAGGGAGCAGTAGGATGAATAGATGAAGGATCTGAGAGTAAAATAGGTGTTGTTAGGTCTTTGTGTTGTGTTTACTTACAGGGTGGCAGGCTTAATGGGTGCCAGTTGCCCCCCCGCCTCCCTCAGTGGTAAAACAGGTCAAGCTCTGTTAGCAATCTAAGCTCCCTCTTAACCTCTTCTTGCTCTCATCTTCCACAGAACCAGACCGGACGCTCACCAGGATCCGGTCAGTTTCCTTCATCTCCTCGCTGCTCTGGAACTGTCTCCTCTCCAGTAACTCCTTACAGGACCTACCAGCCTGCCTGTCCGCCCTCAGTCCAACATAAGACCATCCACCGGAAAACGATCTAAACACAGAGTCTCTCTCACTGTTGTTAAGTCGACAGAGCACTCCTCCATTGATCCAGGAAATAAAACCTTTAAATCTGCCTCTGTGTCCGCAGTTGTCGCTTGCTTATGATTCTGGTTAAGCTTCATCTCAGATGTATCAATGTGAAGAAGATCAGAAATAAATCTGTATGATGTGGTTGAATTGTCTCAATAAATTGCCTTGGGATAACATATTGTGAATTTGCCCCATAGAAATAAACTGTTCCATTTGCAAAGTGTTTAACTTACCTGCTCAATTCAAGAATGAATACCCTTAATTTAAGAACATTTATTTATCTAGATTAGGATTTTTTCTCCAGTGTGACCTGGCCGTTCAGACAGAGGTCACCTTTAAAAAGATCAGATCC